AAACATACAAAGAAAATGGAGTAAATAGGCTTGAAATAGTTATCTGGTAATCTTAATAGTACAAAGAAAGTTCCAAAAATGATCTATTGTCTAAAAATGGGGAAAACAGACTTCTGATGAAACATACAAAAAAAATGGAGTAAACAGAAAAAAGATTCATACGTACATATAATCATTATCACATAAAATTTAGTAAATCATTACTGGTTCTCTGAATATGATGATGATGTAAGTTGCAACATATAAGATCTAGTCTTTCATTAATTCTCATGCTTATCTTTGAATGATAATTCTTTTTCTTCACCACTCTTTTCTTCGGTGCAAGATGAATTTGTCACATAAGTTTTACGCATCATTTCACTATTATTATATAATTTATTAACTGATTGTTCAAGCACTACTAAAGAGCACTTAATTTCTTCCATCTCTTCGTCGCTCACAAACTCATCATCTTCTGCTTTTGCTTTTACCAAATATAAATAAAGTGGTTCAATTTTATTTATATTCTTCACGAGTGTCTCTATATTTTTTCTACATTGTCAATTTCTACCATAGAAAAGTTTCTAATTGATCCATTGGAAGCCATTTATTTATGATAAAGAAATGATTGTAATTTTGTGTTTGATAGAGAAATGAGGCTAACTGAGGATTGAAGAAGAAGCATATATATATATATATATATATATATATTGAATATTGATAAAAATAATGATAAGAATAAGATTTAATTTTTGTAACATATGATATTAATTAATTTTAATAATATGTGATATTTTGGATAAAAGTTAAATAACTTAATATAGTGTGATTGACTAATAAAATTATTTTTTAAAATAATATCTGTGTATCTTTAGTGTTAATGGGGTGGGGGGGGGGAGGGTGACTCATTAGTGAAATATTGATAAAGATAAGAAATTAGGTTTTATAAGATATTATATAAATTAATTTTTTGTATGATATGATACTTTGATCAAAGTTAAAAAACTTAATATAGTATAGTTGACTAATAAGAATTAAAACATTTATATATATTCTAAGTATTTTTATTTTATTATATTTACCTAATTTTATCTAATATTTAACTTCATCATATTTTATTATTTTTGTGAATTTTCAAACATAATTTTTTTCTAACTCTCTATTTTTTTATTGATATTAATTGTATCCCATCTTATATTATTTTTAGGTAATTCTTTCAGAATAACTATATAATAATCATTAATTTATATTTCTTGTATTTATGCTTAGGTTTTTCTGATATGTTTTGATAAGTTCTAAAATTTATTAAAAATGATTATATAAAAAAGAAATACAAAATACTAATTCAGATAAAAAATTTTACAAATAATAATTTCAATCCTTACACTCATTTTATTGGTGCGTTTACAAATCTACGGTTCCACTATTATATTTATACAATATGTTGGTATTGGATTTGGTATAAATCCGGTCCATAAAAAAATGTCCACTAAATAATATAATTAACGCTCAAAACCTGAAGTCTATCTTATCCGAGCTACTACCAAAATGTAGCTTGATTTCCTCTCAGTTCGACCGTAAAGGTACAAACTCAGCAAAGAATTAGTCAAATATAATTATTCAGTCTTAACCACAAAACGGTATGATCCGGGATCTCAAGAGATGGCTAAGTCAAGATACGCCGAGATATTCAGGATGTGGAATAGAAAGGGAGGTATAAAAGAAGATAAGAGCATTCTGAGAGGGCACGACCACATTCGTTCATTCACTTATTACTTTTAAACACACTTATATTGTAACCTAAGAACTTGTAATTCGCACAGAATACATCTCTTTCGAGATTCTTTGTAGTCGTTCATCATTTGATCATCAGATTAATACAAAATCCAGCTTGTTCTGGATCTTACATTTCATCTCTAACGTATATATAGAATATCTAACCTTTTTTTCTCCTACATAGAATCACTACAAAACCTTGGTGTGAGTTTTAGATCTCATATTTGGTGCCGTCTATAGGGAAAATTATAGATTATTCTATATCAAGAGTATGACCAAAGATTCGTTAAGCGAAATGGATCCTACTGCAATCGAAACAGCTGCTACTGTTACGTCCTATGTTGCTCCTGAGCATGTGATCATCAAGATCTGTCAGAAAATATTATAGTAAGTACTCAACCATCAGGTCAAATCCAAACAGCTGGATCGATCTCTTTATCGACTCCAATATCTCCAACAGCAACCACCTCGAGAGCTCCCATGGCAGAAACAAGCTCAGTTCTACCAAACATGACATCGTTCACCGAAAATCGATTATGGATCAGATCTGAAGATCCGTCAGCTACCGTGAGCAGATCTGGTCTGACACAAATATCACTGCCAACAAGCGCTATCACATCAAGGCGTGAGGCCGAACACCAGACAGAAATCCGTGCGATGCACCATCTGTTGGTGGATTGCTCCAAAAATGAAGAAGTGGCCAATCGAAACCATGACTTGGCTACTCGAATTCTTGCCGCACGACTCCCTGATCAAGAGGGGCGCATACGCCCGCCATGATGAGCTCAACACCTCTAGAAGTTGAACACAATTCCTAGAAGGAAGGGGGGCCTTTTTGAGCTTGCCTCCACGAACACATCTAGATTTCACACTTGGAAATTTTTGACCAGGAACGTCGAGAACGCTTGTCACACCCTCAAGCGCAGGATCTATTCCGACAGCGTCCCCTATAACAGCCTCCGCTCTTTCTAGTTCGACAACACCGAACCTGGTAATTACTGGAACCTTATACTCTGCCACCTAGATCTATCTCCTCCACCTCCATTGTCGATGGCAGACCGAGATGGTTGGGCGCGTCAGCCTTTGCCTTGAGCTCCCAACCGTGTGAGCTTGCATTGGGAGCGAGCTCGAACTTTAATCCTTGAACTCAGTTCGACCGCGAACCGCAATCCTGCGCGTTAGCACAATCACAATTTCAGGAAGATCAGGCTTATTTCGGTCACCAAACACCGGTCTTCTAATCAACAGTCAACGACCCCTATGGAGTAGGGGTAGGCAAAATATTCGTTGTATCCGCTTCGAACCAATATTTGCTTCGATCCGATTCGAAAAATTCGGATATCCGTAAAGCTTCGGAGCAAAGCAAATAGCAAAATGTAGTATTCGTACAAAATGGAGCAAATCACAAATATGTTTTTAGATAACGTCGGATATCCGATCCGATCCGTATTTTTATAAATTTATTATATATTATCATGTATATATCAATTATATTATAAATTTTTATTAATATATTCTCAATTTTCTTCTTAAATTTTTAATTGTTCTTTTGATTATATAAAATAAATGACTAAATAACCAATTATAAAAAATAAATAATATGTTTAAACTTAAAATATGTTAATAAATAACATTTATTTTATATTAGTAAATAAATATCAACAAAAGTTTTTTAGTAAAGTTTAATATTAAAGTTTCAAATAGTTAATATTATTTTTAAATATAAAATATCATTTTTCCTCATCTTAATTTTGTAGGTTTATTTTTTATAGATTTTTTTTATAAATAAAATATTTTCTTTTAGTTATTTTTACTTAATAGTTTAGATAAAACTTTTTTTTATAATAAAAATTGATGTACTTTCAGTTTTGTGTATATTAAACGGATCAAACTAAATATTTATAAATATTCGTAAATATCTGCAAATATCCGCAAATACTTGTAAATTTTCCGGATATCCGAAAATCCGGATATCCGTATATTTCCGGAGCAAATCAAATCATAAAATTAAATATCCGTTAAAAATGGAGCAAACCACAAATACTAAAAAAAATTCGGATATCCGATCCGCGCCCACCCTTACTATGGAGTCGAGAACAACCTCTTCTGGAGATATATCGAACATACTAACGCATAGTTCGTACATGTGAACTCCCGAGTTCAAATGGCAACTAGTTCAGACCCGGATATAGATTGTATCATCGAAGAGACACAACGAATTACCTTCACGAACAATATAGCTAACGCTAGAATACGTGATACTAGAAATATCAAATTTCCAAAATTTTCTAGGACAACAGATCTGAAAGCTCATAACGTTCGAATACGTGATAGCTGGAGCTCCTCTAACCAACAAAGATGTAAAACCTGCATATTGCAGACTCTTTGCCGAAAACCTAAATGGACCAGCTCTAGAATTGTTCCCTGGACTCTCAATTGGAATGGCCTCTCAGCTGGAATGGCCACTAATATTGTAGCAGATGCTGGTGTCCGTTTTTTTCTTCTTGCAACAGAGAATGCTCGAATTGAAGAATGAAAACACATAACTCGGAACTTGACATGTTTGGTTTTTTGAAATATTTCTCAGGGTATGTGTTCAGCAGCCTAAGCTCTTTGTGGGAATGATTCTTATTCTTCTCTTTGCGGAAGCACTTGCTCTCTACAGTCTCATTGTAGGTATCATCTTATCCTCTCGAGCTGGTCAGTCCAAAGCAGAATGAGAAACAAAAGAAAACTCAAAATATTTTGTGGATTCTTGGAACTTTGTTTGGGAATAAGATCTTGGTTGTTTTGATTTGGCTGCTTAAAATGATCATATTTGGGTGCTTAAAAGGATCATATTTATGTGCTTAATAGGATCTTATTGGTAACCCTGAATGTTAAGTGAATATGATTCATGATTATCTGATCGAACATTGTACAGTAGAATCTGATTTTAGTTAAATGATCTCTCAAAAACACTCGTTTTTGCATTCCTTGAAACTTAGATCATATTTGGGTGCTTAGAAGTTAGAAGGATCATATTGATGAACTGAATTTTAAGTGAATTTTGATTCATGATCATCTGTTGGAATATTGTAGAGTAGAGTCTGATTGTAGCTAATGATTCCTCAAACGGTCTCTGTTTATATTCCCAAAAACTGGGAACATATATGTGTGCATACAAAAATCATAGTTGGTCATCATATAACCTGAATGTTACTGGATCGGATTAAGCCTTAATCATTAAGGTATAAGAGGTGCTTATGGGACTGCGAAGAGTGGTGTTGGTGGCTTTAATGGGAGTGATGAGACCTGAGCTGGTGATGAAATCGATTGTTCCTATGGTTATGGCTGGTGTTTTGGGTATTTACGGACTGGTTATTTCTGTTATCATTAGTACCGATATCAATCCAAAGGCTAAGTCTCACATCTCTCGTCTGGTCTTGCTTGTGGTCTTGCTGGTCTCTCGGCTGGAATGGCCATTGGAATTGTAGGAGATGCTGGTGTCAGGTTTGTTCTTCTTGCAACAGAGAATGTTTGAATTAGTGAATGTAAAAACATAACTGGAAACTTGAATTGTTCGGGTTTTTTGAATATTTTCTCAGGGCAAATGCTCAGCAGCCTAAGCTCTTTGTGGAGAAGATTCTTATTCTTATTTTTGCGGAAGCACTTTCTCTCTAAGATCTTATTGTAGGTATCATCTTGGCCTCTCAATCTGGTTAATCCAGAGCAGAATGAAAAACAAAAGAAAACTCAAAATATTTTGTGAATCACTTTGGTTGGGAAACAGATCTTGACTGATTGGTTTGGTAATAAAAGAGATTGGCATGTTTTTGTATTCTGGTATTGTATGTCAGCATATATGTCTTTGGGGGAACTTGATGATATTATGTTTGTAAAGAGTTTTGCTTCTGAAACCATCTTTGAGTCTTTTGATGAGATTAATCTTTGTTGTCTTCCAATTTCGGTTTTTTTTTTTTATTATAGATGATAGTCTTTTTAACAGAACCAAATCATGAATTGTAGAGGTGGTGGTTAGCAAAGTGATGAAAATAAACTTTTGAGTTTTTTTTTCTTTCTTTTCAATAAATTTTGGAAATTAACTTCATTTGTGAATTATATGACTTTTGATGAAAGCATAGACATTTTAAGTAAATACAACTACAATTTTTTTAAGGCTTTTATATTATGTTCTTCTTCTTGCTAAGCACTTATGTGCCACATTTAATTATTTCACAGTGAATAGATGACGATAAATATGATATATATAAATATTAGTTGAGGATAAATGTGAATTCAATTAAAATTTTCATTCAATATGGTTACGGTTCAGTTTAAGTAATCTATCTATACTAAATGAAAATAAAAGTTTGGGGCTCTTTAAGCTATCCACATCAGCAAATCAAACTCTTTAAGAAATATGTCATGTCAGCTTCACTTTTCCCTAAAAAAATAAACAAAATAAACAATATTATTTCAAAATTTCAATTAAGTATTTTAAATTCTCAATTAAGCATTACTTACGAAAAAATCTCATGATATATCTCATCTGTTTTTTCAAAAAACGTTATGCTAAATCTATACTAAATGAAAGGAAGAGTTTGCGGCTCCTAAAGCCATGCACATCTGCAAATCAAACTCTCTAAAAACATGCTATGTCAGCTCTACTTCTCCCTAAATATCCCTATAAATTGGAGTTTCTACCCTAAACCTATTGTCTCCCACAATACCACAATCTCTTTTGTTTCAAGTTCCATTCATCTCCTATGGTTATCCAGTTCTCATTGGTAAATCGCTTGAGATAACTTATGAATTTTGTTTTATTATCTCAACTTCAGTTTTTAATACAGTTTTTCACTTCCAAATGCTACAATGCATTTTGTCTTGTAGAAGAAATCAGGCGAACTCAAACGAGACTACCCAAACGAGTGTAAGTGTGTCCTTTCAAAAATAAGCTTTGATACTCATCGGTTTTTGAGTGTTGTGTATGTCAAATCTCCTCTCAGTTTAAGTTTCCCATCTCCATATCTTATCACTGTAACTCTAAGACTAATTGGTCGTAACTTTTAATGTCTTCCGTAAATCCAAATTCAACGGGATCTTGGTTCATGTATTACCCAGGTTGTTAACTTTATCATCTCCTGACATCTCTTGCTTTCTCATGATATGGCTTTTTTTTTTATAACTTTGTCATTTTACAGTCAACAATTCCGAATTTGATTGGAACATATAGAAACTCTTATTAAAAATAAGTAGAGGGTCAATCATAGATTTAATTGCTTGGAGAACTTCAGATTCTCCAGATCGCTCTTATATATACTACATTAGGGTAAAATTAACAACAAATATCTGTACTTTAGCTTTTATCAACGTTATATTGTGTAATGTATATCATTACAGCATATGGGAGCCATTTATTTGCTTCTCAAAAACAAAACCATCGTACATACTGTTAGAAGGGAAATCAGCACATTTCCTAAAAAGCTTTCTCTAGTAATAACCTAAGCCTGCCAAGATCAGGAAGACTGTGCTGACGTAACTCCAGAAAAGAAAACTTCGAAGATAATCTTGAAATTTCCGAAAAACCGGATTGACTCAAAGGAATATTCAAGGATAAAAGAGAATTTTCATAATCTTCAGAGAACAAGGGATATTTCCATATCGCAAATATGAAAATATTCACAAAAGGAGAAAAGGAAAAGGAGCTCGGAGCAACCAACTTCCTATTCCTATAAATAAGAAGACCCTAGAGCACAAGAAGGACAGCTCATACAACCTAGAGAGTAGCAGAGCTAAAACCAAGAACTCCAACGCTTTCTAATTTACTTCGCAAACACTTTCTTGTCACTTCGGCATAACCTCTCGGTTAAGCCATCTCTTATAATCGCTTCATCTTTGAGCTATCAACAAATAACTTGTTCTCCGAAACCCACAACCGTTAACAAAAACCCTACTGGTGATATTCTGGTTCAACAATTGGCGCTGTCTGTGGGGATTAAGAGAATAAATTCAGCAAATTAACGCAATCGGATCTCAAGTCCACCGAGCCACCAGTTTGGCACGCGAGATCTCGGCAATTCTGTCAGACACCGAACGCAACTCATTTGCCTCTTGGATCACCGACGTTCGTCTCGGCACGGCGATCAAACTAAAACTCCCATACTACAACAGGACAGAAGACCCAAACCTATGGCTGACCGGGTTTAACATCTCTATGAAGAGGCAACGGTTCAAAACTGACCTTGAACGCGAAGCTAATCACTGTTAGACCTTCGTGGAGCACCCAAGGACGCTCTCAAGTGGTTCTCCAACCTCCTGCTAGCGTCGATCAAATCCTTCAAGGATTTATCCCACACCTTTATTAAGCACTACTCCAAGTTTATCACGAAGAGGACGGTCAACCTCTTCACTCTAATACAGGAACGCGACCAAACCCTCCGAGATTTCATTGAGAAATTCAAGGACGCCACCGCGGCGTACGGCCAGATCCCGCAAGCTTTGGCCATCGAGGCACTCATGAACGGTCTATGGTTCGAATCCTCTTTTCAAAAAAGAATTGTAGAAAAACCAAAAGGACACCATAGTGGGCGCACTCCAACGAGCTCAAGCTTTCATATGAATGGAAGAAAAAAGAATCTTCTATGCTAAGAAACATGGCATGGACGTGGCAAGCACTTCGCAAGACAAGGATCCGGCAAGTAAAGGCAAGCAATCCTCCCACACCATCATAGCTACCAGAGAGAAGCCCTGGAATCAGTGGACCCGCGGTGATCCTCCATGAAATTCAGACGACAGAGACGATAACCACGATCTCTACTGCTCCTTCCATGGGCGAACAGGACACGCTACTTCGGCCTGTCGACACCTAGAGAATTCTTTGTACGAAAAATACAAGAAAGGAAAGATCAATGTCGGTGGAGACCTATCTCAAAATAAAAATTCCTACTCAAGCAGCTCTAACTCTAAGGACTTGCGCCGAAGTTCCTCCAGCAAGGATCGCCGAGATCAAAGTAAAAGCAGCAGTCGAAGCAGCTCCGGAGGAAGGCGCCGAAGTCGATCACCCGAGAAGAAACGGGAAGGACAAGATAAAGAAAAGGGGGTGGAGCACGAAAACGATGATAGCGAGCATGATAATCCACCCCCTCCGCCCAAGCGACGGGTTAACATGATCATGGGAGGCCTTCCCGACTGAGACGACTCGGTTCGCACCATCAAAGAGTATGGACAAAAAGTGATTACCTCGCAAAAATTTCCTCGTCCCGTGGATTACCATCCGATAATCACGTTCATGTCGAAGGATATGCATGGGTTACACATCCCTCACAACGACCCACTGGTTGTCGAGCTACATATCTACGATAGCGAAATTACGAAAATACTGGTGGACACCGGCAGTACGGTTAACATCATCTTCAAGGACACCTTAACTAAGATGGGACTCTAGGACAAGGACATTAAGGCAGCACCAAAGCCATTAACCGGCGAATCCTTCTTCAGCCTCGGCACCATACATCTGACAGTCTACGTCGGCGGAGTGACAAAGATTGTCAAATTCACCGTCATGGATAAACCAGCGATCTATAATGTCATACATGGCAAGCCATGGATCCATGAGATGAAAGCCATCGTGTCGACTTACCATCAATGCATGAAGTTTGCTACCTCGGTTGGCATCTTCACACTTCGCGGTAATCAATAGATGGCAAGATCTTGCTTCATCAGCGAACACAAAGTGCGACTCACCGCGACAAAAGCCCTTGAAGACGCAAAACAAACGGAGTAGATTCGGTAAGAATCTCGCAGCTTTTATATTTAATTTTTATTATTTTTAGCAACAATAAAGGCTGGCTTGGCCTCTGAGTGACAACACTCATTTAATAATTGTAAAGAACTACGAACGGTTTGATCCCGACTTGCAGCTGTAGATTTAAGACTCGGTGTTTTTCTACAGTTGTACAAACTGAATTTTGCTGGGCGTCAAGGGTGGTGCAGTTTATACTCAGTTTTCAGCTGGACTGCAAGAATAAGTATGAGATATGGAGTCTCATAAATGCAACTCCATTGCGGTTTTCACTCAATGAGTTTGAACAACTCACCGGTCTCAACTACGAGAATGTTGAGGAACCGGAGGAAGCAGAAGTTACTCCTGAGATGAAATTTTTTTGGGAGAAGCTTGGCGTTAGTATAGATGTTGGCCCCACCGTTGACGATCTTACAGAAACATGTAAGAGTGCTGGGGAGTGGACAAGGGATGAGTAGCTTAGGTTAGGATATATATCCATCTTTGCTGGATTTATTGAGGCAAAGAAAAGGGATTCACCCACACAGCTGAAATATGCCAGGCTAGTCATGGATCTCAAGGCATTTGCAAATTGCCCGTGGGAAAGAGTGGCTTTTAAGACCCTCATAGAGTATGACAAAAGAGCCGATTTGACGAAGACTTTTATTCTTTATGGGTTTGCCGAAGTGCTCCAAGTTTGGACGTATTATGCTATGTCCAGATTTCGGGAGGCAATACGGAAATCTCTTTCCCAATAACCCAACTCCACCGGTGCTGGCTTTCAGCGGTTGCCAAGGACGAAATTACATCAAAGAAGCTATGCTGAAACAGGTAATCACAAACTATATTTGCTTCTCGAGTAGACTTCTCTCGAGTAGACTTCTTCTCGAGTAGACTTCTC